GTCAAAGAAAAATTCTGTTATATTTTGCATTCCTCTATAGCTCACGTCATTCGATGTTAACGGAAGACTAATCATATTTCCTAGGAAGAACTTTTAAAATTTTATATCACAGTGAGAAGAGTATAAAATTAGGGTCATGTGTTTCATTTTTTTCAAGAATAAATTTTGGTAAGTCTAGACATGTAAAAAGATCTCTCTAAATACTTGATCAAGAAAAAAGTAAATTATGCCCTTAACTTCAGAGAAAAACTATATACTAAATGCTGGTTCTTTAGACAAGCAAATCATTACAACTAAGCTTAACTCTTCATGAAAAGGCACATGGAGTCCTTAATTCAGTTATTAGAGTTTACTTTTAGAACCACTCAAGTCTTGCCAAATGTTCATTTTCCTATATACAACGGAGTCAGCTACTCTCCAGTGCCTATGCCAGGACAGTCTATTAGAAACTAGTTAAAAAGCAGATACCTTTATCAGAGTATGTGTGTTCTAATGCGTGGAGATCAGGCAATAGGTGAATACAGTTTATGCAGCAGTAGGTGAAGAAATCAAGGATGACCACTTTTCCACATAGATCCTTGTAGACAGAAAGAGGCTCTTCTGTGTTCAGCCATTCTAATCCTGAAATTTGCACAAAATAAATTACAATAATTAAAGGAAAAGACAAAGAGAAAGATGATTTATCTAAAACTTTCCATTAAAGTGTGAACCTCTGTTAAAAAAAAAAGAATAAAATGTGAACCTTTGTTTTTTTCTAAGATCAGTGAAGATAGGCAAACAACTTAAAAGTTGATAGCACTATTTAAAAGCTGTGGCAGTTGAATTTATTTTGTTTATTAAGAACCACCTTTTTCTGTCTACAAATAAGAGAAAAAAAAATGCTGTATCGTCATGATTGTAACAAGATATGTATTTGTGATTTGAAGGAAAAGACCAAGAAGCTTAGAGATTAAAGGCCTGAGGAGGGGAGAAAGAAGAAAAGCAGGGGAGATAGACAGGGGCAGGAGAAGTAGGAAGAGTAGAGTGGGAAAGCTGCTACTATGAGGCAGTCTGCAAATATAGCAAGAAAAAGCTACTAAATTCTTTCAGAATTAGTGTGATAGCATGTGTGTAAAAGGGAGTAAGATCAATACACTTAGGCAAAAAAAGAAGAAATATCAAATATTAAGAGGCCCTAACTGCACACACAATTAGGTATCAAATGATCTATTGAGAATGAAGGTCAAGCTTAAGAATAGTAAGACATGACAAATATCAAGAAAGGAACAAAATGTATGTAAGAATAAACATATCAAATGACTGAGCCAATATCATAAAACAGAATCTGAAATGTTCTGGATTTCGATGATACCCCAACTACAAAATAAATATTTTAAGTGCAAAGTTAAGCATAATACACTGTTAGAGATTCCACAGATGCAACATTAATATTGATGAAGAACATGTTCCCGTCCCTCCAAAGAAAAGAACAACAAAATCTCAATCTGTACTTTTGTAAATCAGTATAATTATTTGACTATGATTTAACTTTAACTTTGTAGTATGAAGAAATATTTTTTTAAACTAATATTAAAAGTACAGTATTCCTATTTAACCAATTTAAGAAAACAAAGATAAGTTTATTGCTTATAAGTAAATGAATAGAGCTATTAAAACTATTAATTATATCTTGAATCAGGTATTTGTATATATTTTATAGCAACTGAAAGCCAAATTTGGGTGGGATGAGTATATAGTGACAGCTAATGACCAAAAACAGTAACTGGAGTTATTCAATTATAACAAAATTCTAGAAAAAAAATCTGCAGATCCAACTAGTATTCCTTCCAATTAGTCCAAATTAGTGAGGCTTCAGGGTAAAGCGACCTCTTGATTATCCATTTTGATAAAGTGTAATTGTATACCAGATCAAGCAAATATACATAACTTCATGCTAATTAATGTATATTTCATATCCTACTTGCAAAATATTTATGAATCCGTCTTCCATAACTTTTCTATAAATAGTTATGGGTGACTTAGATTGGGGGTTTAGGGAAAGAATTATTTCATTTCAGTTATGGTGCTAGGTACTTACCAGGCTTAATAATAATATATAGTAACAAAAATTATCTTTTTGTTGAATACAATAAAAAGATGCCAACATTTAGTAAGTTCTCCTGTGAATAAAGAACTTTTCATATATTACCTCAAATACACATAACCCTGAAAGGTAAAAATACACTTTACAAGTGAGAAAAGGCTTGCAGAAGTCAAGTAACTTGCTCAATATTACACAGCTAGTATATGGAAAA